GTCATTGGTTTGAGAAGTTCATGGAAATCTGTGAAATGTGCTCTTCATTAGGAGAAAAAGTTTATTAAAATGCATAAGGTATTGGCGGTTTGTGAATAGATTATGCATGAGAGTTAGAATGAAAAAAAATTCGCTCTTTTATAAACTTTTTCTATAGTGGAAGTATGTTTTCATGCTTGATTGGTGAGTTGGGGTTCTAAGGTATATTTCAAAATGGGCCTTTGAATTGCATGACTCCGGGCCGTGTGGAGAGTTGACAATCCTCCATATCGTGGTTAAGGAAATGAATCGACTCGGCCTTTGATTGTTTTTCCTATTCTTAAGTGCGTAAGTTACGTAATATATTGTCTACGTGCCTATTATACGTGTAATGTTCAACTCGTGTTTGTTCTCTTTATTCATTTTGTCTCGGGTTCTTGGCGGTGTTTCTTGGGTTACCTTTATTGGAGAAGTAATATCTTTTGAGCTTATTTCCCCCATTTTATCAAAAAACCAAAAAAAATAAGAAAATACATAAAAACCAAAAATATTTACTTTTTATTCAACCCCCCTTTTTTTTGTTTATATTTATATAAGTTTTTTTTACTAAGTTATATTATAAGTTCTTTGTTTATATAAGTTATATTTATAAGTTTATATATTTATTTAATTAAAAGTTTTATAAGTATTATCATTTGTGTAGTAGTTTGTTTTTTTTTAATTTTATTTCGTGACAACGTGTTTGTATACTAAATTGGTTTTAAAAAGTACAAACTTTCTCCGTGGGATCGACCCTTACTTGCCCTAGCTATAGTTTTTATTTGATTATATTTTGGGGGTTAGTTTAGGATATTTTATAATTTTTTAATTTGTTTTGGACCACACGACAAGTCCCCAACAAATTTTGGCGCCGTTGCCGGGGAAAGTTTTGTATGAAATTAATTTAGTATGCCTTTGTGTCATGTATTATTTGCTTGTAAGGAAGCATGAGTTGATGAAGTAGCTTCTTTTCTACTGTTTTGCATGATAAATTTTCAGAACTGAGGTTCTTTGTGCTTACCGAAACTGAAATCAGCATGTGTGTTGTTGTTTGCTGCTGGAAACTAGATTTTCATTGCTGTTTTTTTTTTTGAGAATTTTAGGCCTATTTTCAAGAAAAACTGCTTTTTGACATGATTTTTAGCATTTTGCCTTGCTGATTTTGTTTCCTTTGACCATACATGTTACATTTGAATGACGTAAGTGCATATTTGTTTCATTTTTTTTTATGTGCACATGCATATATAGATTATGTTATGGATTTGTGCATGCTAAATTTGAGTTCCTAAGATGCCTACTTGCTGAATTTTGTACTTTAATTGTTAAATACATGCATAGGAACTGACTTAGAGGTAAATAGCTTGTTTTTGCACTCTGAATTTGACCCTTATATGCTAAGTTTTGATGTCAAAGTGCAAAAATGCAGAAAACTTAGGTTCTAAAAACTGATTTGAAGCTTAAATTTTGCACTTAGAATCTGAACTTTGTTTCCCAACTGAGCTTCAAGTGTTACTATTATTTATAGAAGTTGGAAACAAAAGCTGGATTCTTAATGTTTTAAAGAAACGTATTTGCTTTACTACTTCATGTCTTAAGTGAATATATTTTTGTAAGTAGTAAGCTGTGTCTAGCCAAAGACTTTAAATCGGGCGGCTTATGGGAGGCAACCCACTTTCTTTTTAAGTTTTTTGTCATTTTTCTTTTAAAAAAAATCTTTTTACTTCTAACTTCTAGTTATTGTTGTTTTTTTTCTCTTATAGTTGTTGTTAACTTTTTTTCCCTTTTTCTATTTTTTTTTTAACATGACCCACTTAGTTTAATAGCATTTTTTTTTAACTTTAGTCTTAAAGTTCTTTATGCTTATTTCTAACTTTAACTTATTGTTGTTGTTATACTTTTTTTTCTCTTAGTAGTTGTTAATTTGGTTTTCTTTCTCTTTGTTTTAGTAACAAACTTACTTTTCTTACTTTTTTTCTGTGTTGATGTTTAGTATTTGTTGTAAATATAGGATTAGTTTTTTCCTTTTTCTCTTTCATCTTATTTTTGAAAAACACAAAAAAAAGTGAAAAAAGTATGTTGCTTGATTTTAAATGTTTTTACTTCATTTGTGCTTCTAACCATCTACTTTGCGAGCCTTTTGCAAGATTTGTTGAGTTATAGATTGGAGCATCTCTCTTTGGAGTAAAAATCTGCACAGTTGGGTGCAAATCTGTTTTCAAACAGCAACTCTTGGTGCCCGGATATTGGTATACTGTCAATTTTCTGTTTCTTGAAGCCTTGGGTGCTATTATATGGACATATTTAAGCTGAAAGTTGAGACATATGCATTGTTTACAACTGATTTTTGGATACTAATGAAAAGTTTCGCATTTTGAAAAGCTATTTTTGGACTTGTAAGCTGATTTTTTGAGTGCGAAATGCAAATTTTACACTTTTTACAGCTTATAGGTGCTGAAATAGGAAAAAAATCTGCAATCTTTTCTTGGTGTTCAATCTGATTTTGAGTTCATCAGATGCATATGTGCTGAATTATGATGTTTTTAGATGTATATGAGCTGCTTTGCATGTGCTTGATATGACTTTACCTTCTCATATGCAGCATTTTGTTTTGAAAAGTGCAAAAAGGCACAAGAATTTGTTTCCAGAACCAAATTTGAAGCTTGATATCTACATTCTTTAAATCTGATTTTTCTCTCTTCAAAGCTAAAAGACTTGGTCTTAGTCATGTTTTTGCAGATTTTAGGTCCATCGAGCACTTCAAGGAGGGAAAAGTGATGAGTTGATGCTGCGTATACTTTGTTTTTTAGTTGCATTCCCCAATTCCTTTCTCTCTTTGCTAAGTCCGTGCTTGCTTAAGTCCGTGCTTGCTTAATATTGTCGTTTGCATACCATATAGATGCATCGAGGACTATGCAAATTTTAAGTGTGGGGGGAGTTGCTCATGCTTGTGTCATTGCTTAAAAAAACTTTTGGGGCAAATTTTTTTTAAAAATAGGTTTTGGGTCTAAATATTTTGTCATTCTTTGTTGAATATCTCCTTATTTAGAGCATTGTTTTTAAAATTGACCCAAAAACCTCATTGTTTTCCTTGGGGCTTTATTCTGAAAGATGGCAAGTGTATACTTTATAAACCCGCATTGAGTCTTATGCTCTTTTCTTGGTAAAAAATGACCTTAAAATGTTTGAAATCCTTCTAGGAATACCATAGAATTTTGTTTTCTAGAACTGGCCATCCACATATTATCTAGATGCTGCCTAATCAACCATTGCTTGATATTAAAATCTGAAAACAGAGAGAATCCAGTTTTAGGAGCCTTTTACTTTTAGAAAATTGAGTGATTTTTATATTTTTAGGCTTATTGATGAACCTTGCTACCGCTGCTATTGAGCCGTTCTAAACCGTAGGATTCCGCTAGGAAACTTTTTTGTAGCAGCTCTAGAGCAATTGTTAGAACCCAAAAATCCACACCTTAGTTTTCCATCCTTGTAGGATTTCTAGCTCACTTTGTTTTCAAAATGTGAATGAGCATAAAGTCTTAAGTGTGGGGGTTTAAAGTTCACTTTGTTTCTTCTTGATGATGATAAAAAGTTTTGTTTTCTTTTTGGTCTTTTGAACGAGGACGTTCAAGTATTAAGTGTGGGGGTATTTGATAACTCGGGTTTGGGTTAGTACTTTTTATCCAATTTTGGGCATTTTTTAATATTTTTAGAGTTTAATTTTTAGTAGTTTAGCTTAGTTTTCATTTTAATTCTCATTTTTATAATCTTTTTATTTTCTTTCAAAAATAGTAGTTTTTTAATCACTTTTTACATTTTATTATTTTTATTTTATTTTTCCTAACCCAAGTTATCAGATATCTTATTTTTTTGGAGAAAATTGCAGCAAAAGGCCAAAGTGCAGTTCAAGTTTAAAAAGAAGAGATCAAAGTTGGGTTGAAGCCCAATCCATCATCAACAACAATAACCGGCCCTTTCCTCCTTTGCTTTTTAATTCGCACAAGTAAAAGAAAAAAAGTCTACGACTCCTTCGCCATCGTCAACGGAGCGCAACGCCCAAATCAAACGCATAACTCCTCCAACGTTCGGCTCCATCAATTGCGCAGCAATCAATTATCAACG